AGTGCTTCTTTGGGAAAATGACTCTCCTTGACATCCTCTTCAACTTCTCTTCATAATTCAAGAGTCAACTGTGCTTGGAAAACCATCAAAATTTTGAAGACATTATAGGTCATCTTGTGGACTTAGAAATTTGTTGCCTAAGTTCAAGCTTGACATGTCTAACTTCCAAAGACCATAACTCCTTCAATATTAAAATTTTATGGGTGCTTCTTTTTTCCAAATATCCCTCTTGACGTCTTTTATAACTTTGATTTAGAGATAAAACATCAATTCATGCTCTAAGGACCTCAAATCTTGAAGGCTATTTGTGCACAAAACTAGGTTATGACCTGTTTGACCTAATGACTGACCTGATTTTCAAGGCCATGACCTCAACTTTCACTTTATGCCATTTTAACATCAAGCATCCTTTTGGATTGGTTCCCTTTGCATTGTGTTCTACTCCATTAATAGATCATTTGGTTCAAAGAAAATCAAAGAATGCATGGGTAGATTATATTTGGCCTAGCTATGAACATGGTTACCTGAAACTGAATTATGGTCTATGATCAGATTTGCAAATTCATCAAATACTCAATTTTAAGTCATTGTATGCACGTGTTTTGTCCATGATGAGGTCAACTAATGTGTGAGGATAAAAATTGACTCAAAATTATAAGCAATGCATTGCGTTTTGGCTGGCTTCATGATCTAGGATTGACACACTTTGCTTGCTCATGATTTCACACAAATTCAAGCTAATTCTCACACTGTGAGTTCCATTCTCTTCATCTATAAGTAACATAGTTATTTTATGACTTTTCCATAGAATTTTGATAATTTTAATCCATGATATGAATGTTTAACTTATTTTACATTCTTCCTTGTAGCAAAGTGAGCATTGCGATGAATGAATGAGCTTGAGGGGACATCGAAGAATGAAGAAAAAGTCGTGAGAATGGAGTTTGATGGAAGATGAAATCTTGAGTTATTGGAAATTAACATTTGTAACATAATCATGAAATAATTTATTTTTGATGAATAATGATGAATCCTTTAGTCAAATGTTTGTAGAATAGGTCTAGGAAAATTCAGGAGTCAAAATCGAGTTAATGGTCAACAGTTGACCAAAAAGAATCAACTATACCAAACTTTGCAGTTTTTCCTTGTAATAAAGCTTCTGATACTTGTAATGTGTTCCAATTACTCATGAATGAAGATATTCTGTTTCTTTCAAAAAATTCACCAAAAGTCAAAGCATGGCCAAAGAAAAAAATAATAATGGAATAATCAACAATGATTAATGTTCATATTGATTCAAATTCAATAACATCCGACCAATGAAGAAAAGTCAATAATAATTAAAATTCAATGGAAATTATAGAGTCAACACGTGCAAAAAGTCAACAATAATGGTAAAAGTCAACATTGGCCAGAGCATGGTTAACAATATTGAAATGATCCATCTAAGTCAATCAATAGTTAATTATAAATCACAAACCAACAAAATATAAAGATTAACAGAGAACCATTGAACCATTAAGTAAAAATGAAATGTAAGGTGAACCAGATGAAACTTTTTATAGTTTATCAAATGAATTTAACCTGAGCCAGAAAAGAAAGAAAAAATATAATATGGAAAAAGAGTGGGGAAAATTGGGGTATGACACTTCTAAGATGTGTTCTAGGAATATTGGAGGTCGGTTTATCACTCCACCCTTGTGGAGATTGTACATCCTTTTTTTCCAGGTGTGCTGGTCTATAACAAACCTGTAAAACTCTCGTTGGTCCTTTTGCATTTGCTGTAGAGTTTTCTACAAGATTTCTTCATTGTTACGTGAAGAACTGGCTTCTAATTTGTTTTAGCGTATCTTTGGTTGGCTTTTCTTATCTTTTGCTTTCAACATATTCAAAACAACAACTTTGTCAAACCCAACTTAAGGGTTGCAAATCTCATCATTTGGCGTGTCCAAGACTCCACGTCTCTTGTGGAGAGTAGTGATCAAACATGGGAAGTATAACATTCCATCATTATTCTTTGCATACACATGCATTTCTTTAAAAATGATCTTAGCAATATTTATGAGGGAATAAGTGGTGATATAGTGAATCAAAATCAACCTTCCATTGTTAATAGTTTCATCGTGGGTTATAGGCATTAAAGAGTGCCTTAAGAATTGATACCAAACCTTTAGAATGGGTTACAATTCCATGCGTAGAACAATCTTCCCAACAAATTTATTGTTATCAATCCAATTAGTTCCTAGAAAACACAAAGATTCTCTGATGACATCTAAATCCATATCATTCTTCTCAAAAAGTTATTGATAGGAGTCTTCAACACTCTTCTCTCCAAGCACCATGTTGATTGTCTTTATTTGAGTATTAGACTAATCTTCCTCTTACCAGTATTTCCAAATTCTTTTGGGCTATGCTACTATTGAAGTAGAATTTGTTCACAATTTGCGTGTAGTAAGGTTGTGGGTGTTTGCAAAATCTTTTCTAATTTTACTCTTTTATGATGCGACCGATCTCATCAGTAAGGCCAAAGTTCTCATCTTCCATGTCAAAGATAAACCCCCGTTCCAAAAACACATTTGTTGCAACAAATATCTTCCTGCATCTTCTTTGAGCATCACTATTCACAAAGGTCTCATTGTCTGAGGAATCAAAACTAGAGTACACCATATGAGGAATGACGTTCTTTCTCGAATATGTTTTGATTCTTTTTTCCAGTGGAAATGGGTTTCATTGATGAAAAGATGAAGGGTCTTGATGAGGAGGTTGGGGATGATTAGGGTAATGAGAGAAATTGTTCTTGTTATAGAGAGAGAGAGAGAGAGAGAGAGAGAGAGAGAGAGAGAGAGAGAGAGAGAGAGAGAGAGAGAGAGAGAGAGAGAGAGAGAGAGAGAGAGAGAGAATAATAATTTAGGCAGTTTTGTGCAAAGGAGAGAATGAGGATTTTTGTAAATGAATACACGGTTAAGTAAGGGTGAATGAAAGGGAGAGGGAGAGAGAGAGAGAGAGAGAGAGAGAGAGAGAGAGAGAGAGAGAGAGAGAGAGTAAAAATTTTGAATTTTGAATTTGGGGAGAGAAAAGTAATTGTTAGGGAACTATTTAGGAGTAACTTGAGGGACTAACTATAAGTTTCATGAGTTATGATGGGGACAACGTCATCATTACTCAGATGTGTTGCGGTGTGCCATACCCATGTGCATAACTCCCTAAGATGTTATCTTCTAGTTCATGTTATCTCTCCTCCTTACAATTTCCTTTTTCAATTCAATTTTCTCAACCTCTTTTGGATAATTCTACATGTCTTCTATCGACATAAAAATTTGATTTCCTCATACTTCCTTGGCATGTCACTATCATGACAGAAAACTTTAGAACTCTTCAAAACTTTAGTAAATTATTCATCTGACAGAAAACTATCATGTCACTATCATCATAAAAAAAAATATAAACACTAAATTATTTTGAGTTGCCTCCCAGCAGCATTATTTTTAAGTCTTATTGCAGACTTGAAACATAAGATTTAATCATACATATCCATGGAAGCCCTTCTGTTACTTAAAAGCTTTCCATAATAAGTTTTCATTGTTTGACCATTCACTTTGAATGCATCCCTGTTTTCTCATTCAAGAGGCGTACAACTCCATGAGGAAAACGTTTCACTAGCTTAAAGGTGACCTTCTTGATTTCAATTTACGAGGGAAGAGTTTCAACATAGAATTAAACAAGAATACCATTTGCCTTTCTACCAATTCTCTTTTCTAACATTTTCTATCATGCCATTTCTTGGTCTTTTCCTTGTATGCTTCATCATTATCGTATGAGAATAATCTATACTCTTCCAACTCATTGAGTTGTAACATTCTTGCTTGCCCAACATCATGTAAGTTGAAATTCAATTTTTTAACAACCCAAAAGGCTTTGTGTTACAATTCTATGGGTAAGTGACAAACCTTACCATAAAAGCAAGTCTATAGTGAGACATTCCTAAAGGTGTTTTGAAAGCAATTATATAGACCTACAAAACACCATCAAGATGTTTGGACCAATCCTTTCTAATATGATCAACAACCTTTTTCGAAATTCTTTTTATCTCCCTATTAGACAATTCAACTTTTCTACTACTTTAGGAATGATAGGCACTTCATTCTTTCTCATTGAGTCATCGAGTTTCTTCGTCATATTGCTCAACACCGAATTTCTTCGTTGGTCGCTAAATCATTTTATTCTTCAAATGTGTTCCAACTAATATATGAACTTAATTGGTTTTTGTCTTATGATTTGATTTGATGAGTTGGAACCTACATGACATCCACCTTGCACGTTTTTAATGTACACTTAACCATCAATTGGACAAATTTATTAACTTTAACTATGTGATCTAAAAAGTGGGTTGCAAGACTATGTTGTTAGGCTTTTTAAATTTTAAGTGGAATAAAAGGATCTATTTTTTTTAATGGTATAAAAGGAATCTAAATGAAAAGCATACTTCTATTTGGGAAATATCCCATAAAGTTTGTCTTTTTCACACATTTATTATCCAGTTGTATTATTTCAACACCAAAATGCAGTCACGTTTTATCAATTTCTTACTTGCAACAATCATTTTCCTTTAATAACTCCTTTCTTCCATCCCAAAAGTACATTACTTACAACACAATTGTTACACAGAAATAGCTGCAAAATGTTGAAACCGTCGCAATAATCAGTTATCTAATCTTCATCTTCAGGTACCCTTCACCTACGTCTCCATCTTCCCACGCTTCTTCGAGCTTCACTTTTCTCAGTCCAACATTTATCTCTTAATACGCATTTCTATAATTCTCATCAATTGCTCAGAGAAAATAGAACAACAAGAAGAAGATATTTTGATTTGACCCATGTGAGCCCAGAACGTTAAACTTCAGATCTGAACCCAAAGACAGAAACTTTCGTGTCTCGAAACTCAAATGCTCAAAAGGGGTATCTCATAATTCATTAGAATTTTCAAAGATCGAACTAACACGATGGATGGGGGAAGTGTCGAAAAGAACATCCCCACAAACGTTTCTATAGATCATGTGCTTGTGGCTTTAGGTGAAACGAAAGAAGAAAGGGATATTCGTATTCGAAGCCTTTTCAATTTCTTCGATGCAGGGAATAATGGGTACTTGGATTATGGTCAGATAGAGAGAGGGTTATCGGCATTGCAAATTCCAGGACAGTATAAATACGCGAGGGAGCTTTTCAAGGTTTGTGATTCTAATAGCGACGGTAGGGTTGATTACAATGAGTTTCGCCGGTATATGGATGCTAAGGAATTGGAACTTTATTGCATCTTTCAAGCAATTGATGTGGAACATAATGGTAGTATTCTTCCTGAAGAGCTTTGGGATGCACTTGATAGGGCGGGTATATTCTCTTTCTTTTCCAGTTTTTATTATTCTCTTTTGTTTTGCCTTTTTTTTTATTATCTCTTTTGATTAATTGTTACTATTTTTGTTGTTTGATTTGTTTACTACTTGATACTTTAGTTGGTTAAGTTTGTTAATTCAAGAAATAATTGCTTTATGTAGGTTGAGTTTTTTATTAGGAAAATTCTAGTAGAAGAAAAGTTTGTTATGGGAAGAACCTTTAAGGTTAAGAGCTTTTTGTGACATGAAATAAGTTAATTAAACACATAACCTTGGTTTTTAGACTTTGGTAGTTTAGAATAAGTGGAAATTGGTTTGTGGATTCTTTGATTGTGGAGAGATATGCTTTACTTTTATTACAGGAAACTCGTAGCCAATTGTAATTGTTTAAGAGTTCCAAATCGAACAATATATGGCCTGAGCATGTGCTTATAAGCGGAGATAGTCCTCACCCTATAAGCCGGTTTTGTAGGATCGAGTTAGGGCCAACCACATTTCTAATCGGTAACAGTTATCTGCAAAGAGTGTTGTCTAACTGCAGATGTTCTATATTCCTTCACAATTTTGGTGAGACCTTTATATGTTTTCCTTTTTCTGATCTAATGTCGCGTTTATGCGTATAATTTTTGTTTTGTTTGAGAAGTTATTCTCTAGATCAGCATTATGCTTGGGTTTTGGGAAGAGCGGTTCAATCTATGATGGTATATTATATATTTAAGCATTTGCTTTCTATATTGTGTTTGTTACATCTTTTTTTTCTTGGTCTCTTATGTGCAATAATCTACTCTGGCCACTACACATAAGGTGGATTTTGAAATGGTGTTTCTTTTTTGCCTTTCCATGGGCATTGTTTTTTGCTTTTTACCTGGTAGTATTTATCATAACCCTGTGCAGTTTCAATGCTGCAGGGATTGAAATGGATGAAGAAGAGCTTGCCCGCTTCGTGGAGCATGTTGACAAAGACAACAATGGAACTATTACTTTTGAAGAATGGAGAGATTTTCTTCTACTTTACCCTCATGAAGCAACTATCGAAAATATATATCACCACTGGGAGAGAGTGTACCATGTAGACATCGGAGATCAAGCTGTCATTCCTGAAGACATTAGCAAGCACACTCACCGGAGCAAATATTTTATTGCTGGAGGAATAGCAGGAGCTACGTCGCGTACAGCTACTGCTCCTCTCGATCGTCTGAAGGTGGTCTTGCAAGTCCAGACTACACGTTCTTCCGCCATGTCAGCAATTACGACAATATGGAAGCAAGATAGGTTAAAGGGTTTTTTCCGTGGTAATGGATTGAACGTTGTGAAGGTAGCACCAGAAAGTGCCATCAAATTCTATGCTTTTGAAATGCTGAAAAAAGTAATTGGAGATGCTCAAGACAACAAGTCCGATATCGGTGCTGCTGGGAGGCTTTTAGCAGGTGGTGTGGCTGGTGGAATTGCGCAGACAGCAATCTATCCGTTGGATCTTATCAAAACTAGGTTACAGACTTGTGCCTCTGAAGGTGGAAGAGCTCCTAATCTTGGAACACTCACAAAGAATATATGGATTCAAGAGGGACCTCGAGCTTTCTACCGGGGACTTCTTCCATCTGTGATCGGCATGATTCCTTACGCTGGCATTGATCTCGCTGTTTATGATACCTTGAAAGAAATGTCGAGAAGATATATTATTCATGATAATGGTATATTATCACAGCAACCGCTAAACCTATTGATTAATGTTTTGTTTAATAACAAATTAACAATGCTATTAAATTTTCGCCTTCTGAAAAGTGAAATAGTTTATTTTTTTCTTTCTCTTCCATAGATCCTGGTCCTCTAATACAACTAGGATGTGGAACGATTTCTGGAACCCTTGGAGCTACTTGTGTCTATCCACTGCAGGTTATTCGTACCAGGTATAATATCGCTTCTATACTATCCTTACCCGAATGAAATGACCGGAATCATTTGTGTTTTCCGGAGCTGGTTGCTCTTTGCTCACAGCCTCACACCATGTTTCAACTCTTTTCAGGCTGCAGGCACAACCTTCAAACAGTTCCGATGCGTACAAGGGGATGTTTGATGCATTTTGCAGAACTTTTCAGCATGAAGGCTTTAGAGGTTTCTACAAAGGACTCTTTCCAAATCTACTCAAAGTTGTACCAGCTGCCAGCATTACTTACATGGTCTATGAAAATATGAAGAAAAATCTTGATCTAGAGTAGAGTTTATATATTACCTGGTTTTCGCACACGCGCCTAGCTGCTTTAAGTGTTGACTTAGCTCTGTCATTATGGTACTTCCAGTTAGCTTTGAACATCTACATTGTAGGTAAAGTGTTCTTGATTTTTGTAGATTATATATACCTCAAGGTTGAGCTATTATAGTTATTTTTTGATGTAATTGAGCTAATGCATAATACCTTAGTAAATCTTGCATTGTTGATGAAGATGTTAAAAAATATGTACCTTGTAGTCCTTTAGGCAAATATTCATTCCTTCGGTGATCTTGAAACATAATTCTGTAGTCAGAAACATGGGAAGTATTTCCTCATGGTTATATGAACTAAATGTTGAGGTATTAGAGTTGTTTCATTCTTTAAAATCAAAATGGATACAAAGATACCAAAATTTGGTTACTTGGTCCTGTGTTGATTAGGGCCGAATTTATTAGGAATTACTACTCGCAATGCAACTGAGAGAACATTAAAACCACTTGATACTAGAATTCACTTTGAATTGGATTAGTCGGTCTAGTGAGTCGGATACTGGTTTTGAAAAAAAAAATTATAAAAATACATATTGGTGATCGGGCCGATTGAAAGGAGGTGATGCTATAAGAAAATTGTATCGCTTATTTCTATCAATATTCTTCTACTTCTATATTTTTTAAAATATTTTAATTCTATCATTTTTATTTATTAAATGATTTATTATTTAATATTTATTATTTTTTAGTATATATTTTTTCTTTATCAAATAGTTTGCAATCAAATTTTCCAACATTTATTTTTTCTTCATCTAATTATTTGCAATCAAATTTTTCAGTATATATTTTTTCTTCACCAAATAACTTACAATCAAGTTTTTTAATATGTAATTTTTCTTCACCGATTAAATTATATACTGAAAAACTTAATTGTAAGTTATCTAGTGAAGAAAAAATACATACCAGAAAATTTGATTGCAATTGGTGGGAAAAAAAATACATAACGAAAAACTTGATTGCAAGTTATTTGGTGAAGAAAAAGATACATACCGAAAAACTTGATTGTAAGTTATTTGATGAAGAAAAAATATATATTAGAAAAATTGATTGCAAATTATTTGACGAAGAAAAACATATCGAAAAATAATAAATATTAAATAATAAAATTATTTGATAAGTAAAAGAATTGAATTGAAATATTTTAAAAAATAAAGGGATATAGGAATAATGATAGGGGTATAAGATAATTTTTTTTTATAATAAATGAGGCTAAGGCAACGATTGGTGAGGTTTGATCGTGGAAAGGTGCAATAGTTGAGTTGGAAGAAGGTGCAGATTGGTTAGTGGTGGTTTGAAGTGGTTGAGTTGAAAATTTAGTAAGAGTTAAATTATTTTGGGGTTGAAGTGATCTGCATGAGAGGGAAGAAAATTAATATCATTATTAAAAAATGATATTTAACCTTTATAGGACCATTTAAATTTTAAAAAAAATTATTTTCTAAAATAATCAATTATACATTTTTTTTAATTATTATTGACAAAAATATTCTGTTCTTGAAAAAAAAAACTAGTTTGTTAGTTATTTGGTGGAAGATAATGTGACATACACGCACGTGCGCACGCACACATACAATCACACACACACTTGTTCCTTTGTGAAGATGTCAACAATATAAAAATATGAGAGAATGTGCAATATGCATACTTGATCGCAAACAACTTTCTCAAGAACGAGATTATATCTATTTCAATATGTTTGGTGTGTTGATGTTGAACTGAATTGTCAGATAGATAAAGTGTGTTTTGTTAGGCCAGAATAGGTGATAAAAGTGTAAAATGTAAAGGGGTTTGAATAGACCTTAATTTATAAAATTTGTTTCAAGAATGTTTTCTCAAAAATCATGGTATTTTGAAAATGGGAGGCAAATATGTTATTACATATGCGTTGGATTGATACATGTTATTCTATATTTGGACAATAAAATAAAATATAGAATTATGAACAATTTGTTCAATCAATGAATTAATCAAACTTAAAATACAATTTAAATGAGATGTATAAACAAAATTTTATTAATTAATTAAATCAATCTAACATTCCAATCACAAATAGTTTTAATTGTAAGAGATATGATTCAGACGACTTAATCACAACTAGATCTACATTTTACACAACAAATCACTATGAACAAAATAAACCTAAAAACACGTGATTTCTAAGAAAAAATGATAAAAACTTAAACATGAAATTCTATACGAAAAATTAAAAGGAGATAAGAAAAGATAATATTACACCATGATTTATATTGGTTCAACACATTTGTCATCGCTTTGCGTTTAATTCAGTCTCCAATGACAAGCCATTGAAAATTCATAGTCTTCCACTATTTCGACAATTATACAACATGCATTTTATACAATCAAGGTACCAGATGCTGAAATTAAAAACGAAAATAGCAACTTCAATTTGAATCTTTCCTTCTTCTATTGTACACAACTCGCACAATGAAATCTCCAAGATCTTTACTCAGTCTTAATCATCTTCTTACTTAGATCCAGAATCCACTTCAAGCATATGTAATGCAACGATCTTTTCTCGATCCTACCGGTCTTTTGTATGAGTTCTTCGTTCAACCTAACGAGACAAAAACTCTCAACTTTGTTACGTAACCACCTTCAATAGGCACTACCATAGTCATCGGTGAAAAATAAATCTATTTCTATTTTCTTATACTTGATTGTCAATTTCCAATAACACCACATAATCCTAATCTTGACTTTCACTTTAAGAACTTAACAAAAATCAATGATAAAAGACTCTCATTTATGATAGATCTTACTCTCTCTAAAAATTGATAAGCAACCAATTAAAAGTATCTTGATAGAGGTTGAAGATGAATGCAAACTCAAAAGAATATTATAATTTAGTGTACTTTGAAAGCTAAACACTTTGTTTTGAAAAATTTTCTAAGTTGTGATGTTTTTCACATTTATAAATTTGAAAAATGACAAAAAAAATATTTATGTGTGTGTTTGGGATAGAGCACTAAAAATGAACAAAAATACTCATTTGATTTGAGTCGAATGAGAAGTGATTTGCGTCAAGAAATTAAAATTCAGAATTTTAACCTTTTGATTTGAATCATGATTCGAGCGAGTGATTCGAGTTATGAAAAACATTTATTCCAATTATATTAACAATTATTTTGAAATGTATTTTGATTCGAACCAACCTTTAGCTTGATTCAAATCAAGCTTGCTTCTGATTTGAGTCAGAGAAGCTTATGATTAAAATCATACTTGCATTGCAAAATTGTTTTTTGCATTCAAATTTTTATTCAAGTAATGCATAAGCTTGACTCGATTACACTTCTAAAATTTGAGTTTTTATTAAATCTAAAGCTAGTACGATAGGAACCATTCATTCATACGTTTCTTGACCCAAATAATCGACTAATTTGACTTGAACCACTTGCAAGGACTTTTATCTTAGGGTTCAATTTAATGCATGTAAAACATGATTTAATGCAACACACCATTTCATGCATCACACTCAATTTAAAGATATAAGCAAAAATTAATATAGAGGAGACTCAATAATAAAAATTTATAAATGATAATATAGAAAACTAGACAAGCAATAAAACTGAAACCCTAAAAGACCAAAATAACTTCATGTTGGTGTTGTCACGATAGACTAAAGTAAATTTTGTGATATGACAACATGGTTTCAACAATAAGTTGTGAAACCAACACGATTCAAAGACTACATTATTTATGTCTCTTATTTTTCCTTGACATTTGAATGAGACAACATATGTTGATGTTAGGCGGACCAGTAGATCAAATGATCACAAGATAAACATAATAACCAGAGGTAGATCTTCTTGTGTCCTAAAACCAACCTAAATCGCGTGTGTAAGAGATGGGTATGTAAATTGATAAAGGATATAGATGGAGGATGTAGTCAATAGTACCATGAATATAGAGTGTTAGAACAAGATTTGTTAATGACATATTTGCCTTGGGTTTTGATGATAACAAAGTATTGAAAAAATAATGGTTTAATTGATGTGTGTTACATGTGTACAGGTTCTTATACTTATAAATATTATTATCAAAATATATTATACATTAAACACACTTTGAGAGTTGCTGCATTGCTAGCTTCTGGTGGCAGAATATGAAGAACACTTGTTAAGTGATGTCTGACGAAGACTTTGAAGCTGAAGGCATCAACATCAAAAGAAGCAGCGTTATTGTCTCTACACTTAGTGAATACAAATTGGCTTCTGGTACCAATCAGAGTTGGTGATATAGTTGAAACTGTCCATACTGCAGAAAACAAGTTGTATTATCAAATCAATTTGTCAGCTAGAGTCTACAAATTGCAAGGCTCAAGAAAGGCTAAGATGCTTTATAGATATCTACTCTCAAAGGCTCTAATAGTACATAATCTCTTGAAGACTCAAAGGTTAAACATGTTACACATTGAATTAAGATCTTCTGGTGTATCTATCTTCAACAGATTTTGTACTATGAAGTAACAGAAAAGATTCTTGATCAAGTTACCTCCCCAACAACTAGTTTTTAAAAAGGCTATAAATATGGCTGAAGGTTCAAACTGAATCTTTAACAAGGATCAACCAGAAGAAGGAGTAACAAGATCAGCAATTATTAACTCAATATATTTGCAGATTTTTCTGATGTAGGTTGTAATTGTAAAAGTCTTAAAATTTCTTACATTGTATATCTTAGAAATCTTAAGAGCTTTAGGTCTTTGTTATGGTAATTTCCCATACCTCCGATACTTGTATCATGTACACCTTGCTCTCTATTCTACTGAGATTGTTCAGCAATTTAAATAAAAGTCTTATGTCATTGAGATACAAGCAAGGAAGTCTCGAGCCGAGATGCTTGAGCCAACTATGTGATTGAGCTATGAAAGTCTTAATCAAGTGGATTGATTAAGCAGAAGTCTTGTATCATTGGGAGACAAGCAAGGAAGTCTCCAGCC